GTTGTTAAGCCCCACACTACATTGTTTTAGACAACTGTCTGAGATATTTAAAAAAAAGCATTTACACTGCTGTTTATTTCTTTGTATAGAATGACATTTCCATGTTTTTCTTTTGCCTAAAGAATGTTGTCATTTTTTTTTTTTTTTTTCTGTACTGGGGATTGAACCCAGGACTTTGCATGAGCTAAGCTATACCCTCAGCCCAGAACATGTCACAATATTTGTTACAGTACAGGTCTGTTGGTGATAAATTCTATCAGCATTTGTCTGAAAAAGTATAGCTTATTTTTGAAAGATGTATTTACTGGGTATACAATCTTATATTGACAAAATTTTTTTCTTCTTCAGTACTTTAAAATGTAGATACACTGTCTTCTGGCCTACATGATTTTAGACAAACAGAATTATTCTTATCTTTAATCCTCCATACCTGATGTATTTTCCCCCTTTGGCTGTACTTATTATTTTTCTCTTTATCACTAATTTTTGGTAATTTATTATTATTTTAGTATGGTGCTTCTTCTGCCTGATTTGATTAGCACTTCCTGGGGTGTGCTAAATTTCTTCAATTTATTCAGTTAACAGTTTTCAAATTTGAGAACTCTTCCACCATTAATTTTATTTTTTGGCGGGGGGGGGGGTGTGTACTGGGGATTGAACTTGGGGGCATTCACATACTGAGTCACGTCCCCAGCCCTATTTTGTATTTTATTTAGAGATGGGGTCTCAATGAGTTGCTTAGTGCCTTGCCTTTGCTGAGGCTGGCTTTGAACTCACAATCCTCCAGTCTCAGCCTGCAGAGCCACTGGGATTACAGGCGTGAGCCACCGTGCTGGCTCTACCATTAATTTTTCAAATACTTTGTTGACATTACCTATGTTCCCACCTTTCTTTTTGAGACTATAATTATATGCTGACTGATAACTGTCCCATGGTTCACTGATGGTCTGTCATCCTTCTTCAGCCTTTTAAATTTTATTTTATTGATACTGAGGCTTTAACCCAGGGGCACTTTACCACTGAGACACATCCCCAGCCCTATTTATTTTTTAGTTGTAGGTGGTAGACACAATATCTTTATTTCATTCTTATGTGGTGCTGAGGCTTGAACTCAGTCCCTCACATGTGCTAGGCAAGCACTCTACCACTGAGTCACAACCCAAGTCCCTCTTTTTATTTTTTGAGACAGGGTCTAACTACGTTGCTTAGAACCTAAGTTGCTAATACTGACCTCAAACTTCCAATCTTCATGACTCGGCCTCCTGAGATGCTGGGATTACAGGTGTGTGCCACTGTGCCTGGCTATCTTCAGCATTTTTTCTGTTTACTTCTGGATGGTTTCTATTGCTATATTTTTTTTGGGGGGGGTACTGGGGATTGAACTCAGGGGCACTCAACCACTGAGCAACATCCCCAGCCCTGTTTTGTATTTTCTTTAGAGACAGAGTGTGTCACTGACTTGCTTAGTGCTTCCCTTTTGCTGAGGCCGGCTCTGTCTGAACTAGTGATCCTCCTGCCTCAGCCTCCCAAGCCGCCTGGATTACAGGTGTGCACCACCATGCCAGCTTCTATTGCTATATCTTTAAGTTCACAAATGCTTTTCTTCTGACGTGTCTAATCTACTATAGCACCAGCCTGTGTATGTTTTATTTCAGATACATTCTCATTTCTATAAGTTCAATTTGGACCTTTTAAAAAATATCTCCATTTCTCTCCACAGAATGTCCATTTTTCTCTACTTTTCTGAATATAATTAATACCTGTTTTAACATATTTGTTTGCTAATTTTATCATTTTGTTCATTTCTGGGTGTTTGTAGTGACTGCTTTTCTCCTTTGTCATTAGCTGTATTTTCTTTTCTCTTTGTATAGCTGGAAATTAAAACAATTTTTTATTAACATGTATTATTGGACAGTTTCAGGCAATTTTTGATGTGATATTGGACACTGTGAACTCTTATAAGGATTCTATTCATACACCCTCTCACTTCGGAGATTTTTTCCACTTTAACTGGCTGGAACATGACTACTCTTGGTGTGTGTGTGGGCCCTGAGATTGTTCTGGTTCCGTCTTTCTGGCAATTCTTCTCCTAGCCTTTAGTAGTGTCTTTTCACAAACACCCAGGTCAGTATTCAACCTAAGACTTGAGAGAAGCTCCTGTATTTAAAATCTACCAGCCCCTGCCCTGAATTTCAGTAAGCTAAGGCAACTATAGGGGATATCCTCTTTAGTCCCCTTCTCTCAGGCACAACTGTCCTGTACTGCCTGTTAGGCAGTGTCTGAAAACTGTTGTTCCATATGTTTTATTTAGTCTTCCAGTTAAGATGAAAGGGTAAATCTTGCCATTTTATTCTATTATGACCAGAAGCAAGATTTAGTTCTATTTATCTAAATCATTTCCATGTATTTGAAGTTTGTTTTTTGTTTTTTTGGTTCTAGTCCTGGGGATAAAATCTGGGACCCTGTGTCCTTAGGCAAATGCTCTACCACGAGTAATATCTCCGGCCTGTTTTGTTTTATTTTTGCTAAGTTGCCCAAATTAGCCTCAAACTTGTGATCCTCCTGCCTTAGCCTCTTGAATAGCTGAAATTACAGGTGTGCATTACCACTCTTGGCTAAAATATTTGTTTCTTGATTGTGACTTTCAATCTATTTTTACAACTAATTCTTCCTTTAACTCTTGTCTTCCCCTTCCTTTAACTGGGTATTTTTATCAATAACTAATCTCCTGACCTAATTCCTACAATGTCCCTAATTTTATCAGTCTTCTACTTCTTTATGTATTGTTTATAAGGTAGCCAGTTCCAACATTCCATTTTTGAGAAGTTTAATTTTCTTATGTGAAGGTAAAGCATCCATTCTTTCAATTATTAATCTTTTGAAACTATATATAATTTAACAAAATTCACCTATAAATAAATCTATTCATGAAAATATTTTTTGAAAGGCTATTATATGAACAGACATTGAAGTCTATTTTCCTTTCAGGAAAGCACCAGGGGAAGGGTAGCCAAATGTTTTTCTATACATATCCAAAATAGAGCATTTCCAGATTTTTTTTTTTTTTTAATACAAACTAAATCGATTCCTTTCATTTCCTGGCTGTTACATTCCTTGTCAATTATAAAAATAATTAATCATCATCTTATTTTGAAAAAAGTTTTAATATATCCTATAAAACTGATAGGACATATAAAAAGAAGAGAAACGATTATGAATAAAAATATCTATTTGAAGTAAAGAACACAATTGGAAAGGACAAATTACTTGCAAAAGACTGCTCAAAAATTGAGAAACAGAATTTTTCAAAAGGAATATAGACATTTTAGGCTGTGTACTAACACTTCAGAATACTGACTTCACAAGGACAATAACTTTAAAAGCCTGAGAAGTATGCTGCTTTGAAAATGATGCTTTTTATTTAAAATAGTTTTCATCATCATCATAGACATATGAACTGGCACCCATTTTTGAGGTTAACATTATTTTGAACTCAAAAGAAAAGCACTTCCTATAAAGTTATAGGTAGGGCTGGGTCTGTAGCTCAGTGGTAGAGCACCTGCCTAGCACATGTGAGACATTGGGTTCGATCCTCAGCACCACATAAAAATAAAATAATGGTATTGTGACCATCTATAACTAAAAAAAATATTTAAAAAAAAAGATATAGGTAAGTGTGGTAAGATAAAAGAGACAAAGAATATTTCCTTCTCATCTCTAAATAATAATTTCTATTAACTTTGCTTGCTAAAAATTCAGCTTCTGATGGGCCCAGGGAATGGAAAATATGTCCTGATGAATGCTGCTTCTGTAAGGGATCTCACTGAGGTAACCGCCACAGTCAACAGCAAAACTCTTAGTTCATATCCTACTCACTGCTGCCCCCTACAAGGCTGTGTATAATTTACAACAGGCACAGTCCCTTTGGAGAAACCATTTTCTCCTCTAGCAGTGGCAGGCAAAAATGGCAAAAGACCAAAGATCAAAACCAATATATCAGTGGATATTTTTGCTTATTCTTGATTTTCATTTCACCCTTTGATTTTGAGGTCTTTTATCCTCTCCCCCATTATTTGATTCAATGTTCTAATTCTGAGGAGCTAAAAGTAGTAAAGGGATTCTGTATTCCCTAAATACAGTGTCAAATCACATATTCCTTACTATTCTAGGTCAAAGAATATTACAGGGACTAAAGAACTTCTGAAATTTTATTTTATAAACTGAAGAGGCAGTGGGGCTAGTCCAGCTGCCTCCAGAGAAAAATCTGGGCATGATACCTAACTCCTAACTTTATATACCTAATCCTAAGACAGGACCCAATTTAAGATTCTGAGGTGGTATGATACAGTAGATAAGACTCAATGCTTGGGTCTGAACCTTGGCTGTGCTATTTAACAGTTATAATAGCTAGAAGTTTCTTAACCTTCTTATGCCTTATTTTTTTATGTATAGAATGGGGATGATAAAACTATAGCATCTACTTCCAAGGGTATAGTAAATCTTACGTGAGTAGAACATATAAAACACTTAGAACAGTGCCTAACATGAGCTAAATGCTCAACAGATGTTCCAATATTATTATTTGGAAAGTCTTCAGCATACAAGAACAGATATTGGTACCTAAAATATATAATGTTCAATCCCAATTCTCGTCTTTGGCTGTGGAAACATTCTTTTGAAATGAAACAGATATCTATAGGTTTAGGAACAGGATAGATCAGTTTAAAGTTCACAGTGCAACTAATATACTTAGCTGGAATTGGGAGGTGAGGGCAATAACTTTTTCCCCTAATATATCAAACTTCTTCAGCATCAGTTTTTAAAATATTATGTACCAATGAAGACTATTCTAGAAAGCTTATCATTTATAATGTAAGTGACTTAAAACAAGTAGATGCAGAAAGGGAGATAATGTGACATAATGTCTTAATGTTCATCTACTATTTTTATATAAAATAAATTCTATATAAAATATTTCTATATAAAAAATTTAAGATTACCTCATCATTGAGCCAATTTAGATGATTTAGAGTTTGAATATCTTTGCGTGTAATGGTCAAGCGGAATGCTTCACTGAGAACTTCATCTTGGTTCCCATTACGAAATACATTCTTTATTTCTTTCTCCATTTCCTAGGAAAACAAAGGGTGTTAGAGATCAAACACACATGGCTTCAGACAAAATCAGACTGCTCACCAATTCCCCATGCTATATATTAGTCAACCGTTTTACCAATTTACTGTTAATCATTTTGCTTCTATCTAACATTTTAGTTTCTATTCCATTCCAACATTGATTACTTCCTTCCATCCTATTTAGTTCTCCATTCTTACAATATCCAGATACTTGTTTTTTATATTAATTCCTAAAATCTGAAACAATCTTTTGTTATCAAATTTCCTAAGACTATGAAAAAGTTCTCCCCCGTGGCTGGGGTTGTGGCTCAGTGGTAGAGCGCTTGCTTTGCACATGTGAGGCACTGGATTTGATCCTCAGCATCACATAAAAATAAATAAAGATATTGTGTCTGTGTAGCTAAAAAATATTTAAAAAAAAGAAAAGAAAAGAAAAGCCCTCCCCCTATATTTTATATTTCTGGTCCAAATGATTTCCTAAGAAAAAGCTTTCACAAAAGGTAGCAATGGAGTAAAAGCAGTGTACTTTAGACACTATTTTCCTAGAAAAATTTGTGTTTTAATTTTTTTTTTTTTAATTTTTAGTTGTAGATGGACATAATACCTTTATTTTATTTATTTATTTTTATGTGCTTTGGAGGATAGAACTCAGGGCCTCACACGTGAAGCAAGCACTCCACCACTGAACTACAACCCAGCCCTGTGTTTTACTTTTTAAAATATAAAATATGTACTCCAGGGCAACTACAGTAACTGTGTTATGCTCACCAGGTACATAATTTTTTCTGGTTTTGTTTTGCTTATAATGCTAAGGATTGAACCCAAGGCCTTGTATATGCTAGCATTCTACCAATGAGCTATACCCTCAACCCCCCAATTTTTTCATCAAATTTCAATAATCCTTTAAAAATAAAGATTGATGTATAATAAAATCAGTGAAGTATGCAATAAAATTTAATACCACATATTCTATTACTTTATGTTTAAAAGTGTCCAGAGCATTCTTTCTAAATATAATACTTATTAGTGCAGGAATTTACAGCATGTACTTTACCTCTGTAATTTCAGGGAATTCATCTTCACTATCAGTTAATTTATGACTTTTTTTTTCTGTTTCTTGGGAGATTGTGACAGGGATCTCCTTTTCAAGAGGTACACGAAGATGCAGTTCTACTGAATCATGTAATGAATGTTCCTGTTCCTGCAATCTCTGAAAACCAGAACAGCAGAATAGTGCAATAAGGAAATCTACTATTTGACTTATGTATACTGAGTAGTTCTAGTTGGAAAGACCAAGAACATATACCACTCATCATAAAATGCTATGCCACCACATACAATCTTGCAATCACAACAGCAGTTACCCAAATCCAGATAACCTTCTAAACTAGTTTCAATTTGGACATGCTATTTATTTATAATCTTTTTTAAAGATTTTTTTTTAGTTGTAGATGGACACAATACCTTTATTTATTTATTGTTATGTGGTGCTGAGAATTGAACCCAGTGCATCACCCATTCAAGGCAAGCACTACACCACTGACTTACAACCCTAGCCCCTATAATTTTTACCTGATTTTGAAGCTGTAATGCCAGTGCTTTCTGCTCTTCAATCTGGCGCAATCTTTCCCGAGCACGAGAATCATAAACACTAGTTCTATAAAGTGAAAACAAAAATGACACAAATGGAGATCACCCTCTTGGGATCAAAACACTGTTGACATGCAGTGAATATCAAATACAAAACCCTCACACAGAAAGACCTTACACTAACTTATGCCTCATCACATTTATATTTTAAGACACAGAGTAAAACGACAGAGTTAGTTAATGAAATTATCTCACCACTTTGACTGAAATGATTGTCTCCTAGTGTACTGCTCAATGTGAACAGGTGACTTTTGTAAATATTTATAATTGTGTAGCCACCTTTTTTTAATATTTATTTTTTTAGTTGTAATTAGACACAATACCTTTATTTTGTTTATTTATTTTTATATGGTGCTAAGGATCAAACCTAGGGCCTTGCACATGCTAGACGAGTGCTCTATCACTGAGACACAACCCAAGTCCATGAGCCCCTTTCTAACATGCTTCTAAAATTATGTGAAAGTGAAACTTCATTCTGAATCCCAAATAAGACATTAATTTTTAGTTAAAACACATTGTTGTATTAAAATACATACACATTGTATTTAAAGTATTGTAAAAAGTCACAAAGAGCAGAGGGTTTAAAAAACTAAAAGTTAGTTCTTGGAACTGGAAACTAAATGCCTTCAGTAAATAAGTCAGTTTTACCAGTGTCAAAATTAAAACATATATTTTCCTTTATATATAATGTCTAACTTTGAAATATTTTTCCAATTCAATTTAGTTTCAACAATTGCTATAATTTAGTAAACATAAAAATAGAAATATCCCAATTATAAGAGAATTTCTAAAACTCAGTAAACTTTGGAGTTCAAATAGGTAATTCTTAATGACCAAAAAAAAAAAAAAAGATAATCAGGATGATTAGCTAATTGTTTCTCTTCTTCTAACTGAAAATGAAGTGACTGAGAAAGAAAAATCATACTAAAAACAAATAACTTACAATTCTTTGATCCACAGCTCTGCCTGGAAGAAAGCAGGACTATAGGTGGAAGGAAAAAATGAGCCAGAGAGATTTATGAGAAAACTTAAATATTTTTATCAACAAAAGCAATCATTTATATAGTTTATAATAATACTTTATAGAATAAGTATAAGGTACCTAATTAATATAACTATAATATTATCTGAGAATAAAGTTGTAAAATATTATCTGAGAATAAAAGAACACAAATGAGTCATCTGCTTACACATTTCTTAAAAAGATCACCCAATTAAGTTTAGCATAGTTCCCCAATTGCATGAGAGGACAGTATGTGAAAAAGCACATTACTAGTCAAGATAATATATTAAGCTAGAACTTTACTCTTATTAAATGGTTTATGCTGACAGATTTATTAATGATTTACTCAAATCTTAGGGATTCTTGGATTTCTTGTCAGTCAAAGTCAAAAAGTATCCATCCAAATCATAATAGTTGCTGAACATTCCCATCCACCAAATATTCCCTATCAAATGGCTAATAAGTCAATGAGCGCCAAAGCAGAGAAGAACAATGCAAATCCATTCCAGAGCTAAAAGATCAATTCCACTGTAGTTCCTACTGCCATTCTAAGTGAATAATGCTTAATGGTGTCACAGGCATGTTAACTGTCCCAACTGCTTCTTGTTTTTCTTGACTTCAACTCCTTGAAAACCCCTAACTAAGGAATCTATCACAGAAACAACTGAAAGAAAAGTGAACACTTTTCTGAAGAAACAGAAAAAGTAAAAAGAGCTTTAAATAAGGAGTTAAGAGACCTATATCTCCTGGAGCAGTCCCCATTTAGTTTTATAATTTTGAGTAAGAGACATGGGCATTGTTTTCAAGATTTATAAAATTCAGTGTGATATAGAGTCTCTTTCAGTCCTTAAATCTCTATAATCTCTCCTAGTAAGGGTACTAACAAGGGCTCAGAGGATAACCCTTGCCCCTTAGTCTAACTTTGGAGAGTTTGTATCCCCAGTAATCCTTAGGTTGCTATTCCACTGCCTCTGCATTGTCATTGTCATTAATAACAGCCTATCCCCTTGGCACAATGAACACCTGATAAAGACCAAGATAGAAAGCCACAGAGAACAGTGGTAGCACTGTGAGGGCTGTTTAGTGTATGGTACTAAAAATAAATGAACATGAGAAGGTGCTTATTACACAATATAAAGAAATTTCACAGTCATGGATCATGCTATTAAAATCTGGCTTTCCTTATTAAAACAAAAACTTGATAAAGACAGAAAAGTACTTTTTATTTTGTAAACTACCACATCTTCTGCAACTAGAATAGTTCCTTGCACACAGTAGAGACTTAATATTTGAATGAAAGAATAATGCAGGGGCAAGTACTTCTCTTCAATGGATTAAGGTATCTACTGTCTCAGGAAAGCCAAATAGGGGAAATTTCCTTTTCCAAAGAGATTATATATTACTTCTCATAGAAATGAAGCATACAGTAATAGTAATAACTACAACTATATGTGTATGTGTGTACATGTGTGTTTATACATACACACACACACACACACACACACACACATATATATATTTTGAGACAGGGTCTCACTAAGTTGCTGAGACTGACTTTGAACCCACCATTCTCCTGCCTCTCCTTCTGAGCTGCTGGGATTACACGCATGCGCCACTGTGCCTGGCTAACTACAACTATATTTTGAACACTGACTTGGTGCTCCATATGTAAAACTTTGCTCTAGGTGTTTTACATACTAGTGAAGCTTCATGATAAGCCCCATATTATTTAATCCTTAATATATATGTAATATATATATATACACACACACACACACACACACACACACACACACACAGAAAAGGAAACTCAGGTTCAGAAGGATAATTTGACTTGGAATAGCCAGGATTAGAAATCTTATCTAATTCCGAAGACTGTGTTCTTTATACTTGTAGTTAAATGCCTTTCAGTAGACTGATTCATTAAGCAAAAAGGGAAAAAAATGAGTACTAGGGCTACTTAGAGTATTTCAGGTTCTCTAGGATATTCATTTATTTAGCAAAGATTTATTTTCTAAGCACCCATCACATGTCAGGCACTATGATCAGTACTGGGTGATGACTAGGTTCCATTTTCAACAAATAGTATCACGTAATCAATCTTACCCAACAGACCATTTCTCCTTCATCTCATCCTTTAGTTGTCACTAGATGTCCTCCATAAAGGAAAAGACTTAGTAAAGAATCATTGAGGAAGTCTTTTTACATTTCTAGCAGTGCTAGGGATCGACCCCAAGACTTTACACATGCTAAGGAAGCGTGCTACCACTAAACCACACCTTCAGCCTAGTGAGAGCACTCTATCTTTGAGTAATTTCTTCCTGAGAGAGAAAACCTACTTCTTTTGGGGTACCAGGGATTGAACTCAAGGGCACCTGACCACTGAGCCACATCCCCAGCACTATTTTGCATTTTCTTTAGAGACAGTCTCACTGAGTTGCTTAATGCGTTGCTTTTGCTGAAGCTGGCTTTGAATTTGAGATCTTCCTGTCTCAGCCTCCTGAGTGGCTGGGATTACAGGCATGTGCCACCATGCCTGGCTGTGAAACACTTTTAAAATGCTTTATCTGTAAGTTCTTCTTCACATAATTCAATGGTAGAGTACTAATACTGGCATTTTATTTATAAGTAATATGAGGTTCAGAAGAATAACTTCAAAGTTACAGGAAGCCTGAAAGAGCCAAGATCAGAAGTCAGGTCCGACTCTGAAAAACTAAGAAATAAAGAACCCAAACTACAAAGTCTCCCTGAGTCACTCAACAGAAAATTTTAATGAATACTCAAAGCTTAGAATGAATGGGGGAGCTGCAAAGAAGTAGTGGAAATTAAATGAGAAAGAACATTTTATTATCTCTAATCTCCTCAATGGAAAACTAAAACTGCCATTCTAGCAACTGAAATGCCAAGACCATAATACGGCAAAGAAATCTAAGTAATAACCTAGTGAATTACAGAGGGAGATGTACTTGACACCTCCCAGAGAAGTATTGACACCTCCCAGAAGTAAAGTTTCATATGTAAGTCACTCTTGAAATGAAATTTAAAGATAAAAGAGACTACTGTTAGATCAGTTGACAGAATATTCAAGGCAGAAAAAAAATTGGCAAAAAAAAGCATATCATATTTAAAAACTAAAACAAATTCAGCATTTGAAAATACATGAAAAGAGTCTCATATTTCCACATGGCTTCCTCTCACTTTCATTATGTCTCTACTCAGCTGGCACTTGACTGAAGACTTGCCTCAACTACCCTATACATGTAATTTTTCTCCAACCCTAGCCTACATATTAGTCCCTTTTTCTTTACAACATTTATAACTACTAGACATATATGTTTATGTGCTCCCTACTTGTCTCCTATCACTTCCCTCATCTAAAATACAACTCCTTGAGGGCAGAGACTTTTTTTCTCTGCTGTTATCCCCATTGTCTATTCCGGTACCTGGCACATAGTAGACTCTTAATATTTAAATACTTGTTAAAGAAATGTGCAATGGAAGGTAAGGCTTATGGAGGAAGTGCTCACTATACAATACTAAGGAGTTTGGGTTTAATTCTATGTCTAATAAACCACCCTTGAAAGAGTTTAATAAATGGTCATAAATTCCTTTAATGAATGATCAGATATTTTAGAAAGATCACTCTGGCTATAGGATGGAAAATGAACTGAAGAATAAAGTAGAAGAATTTTAGAAAGATCACTTTGGTTGCAGCATGAAAATGGATGAAAGAATAAGGTTGAAAATGAATTAACATAGTATGGTGGAAGATGAAATGAAGAACAAAAGGAAGGCTGGAGGAAAGATGATCAATTAGGAAGTCACTGAAATTCAAATAATACATGAGAAAGGTTTGAATTGAGGCAATTTTGTGTTACACAACTCTTAGTAAAGAAATTTTGGTTAAACAAAGGGAAAATTATATGTTAAGAATGACCTTTTCACTCTTCATTGTGTATAAGAGAAATGAAAAGTTGTGCTCCATTTGTATACAATGAATCGAACGCACTCTGCTGTCATGTATAACTAATTAGAATAGAGAGAGAGAAAGAGAGAGAGAACGACCTTTTTCCTAAGTTTACCTGGGAGTTGGAGTCTGAGACTCTTTCACTTTGAGTAAAATCACAGAGTCTGAGCCTAAACAAAGAAACACAAGAGCATTTCCTGATTAATAAAATTCCACCGTTATATTTTCTATTTGTCTTAGTTCAAATTCCTAAACTTTATTATATTCTATTTCCCCAAAAATAACAGCATTAGGACAAAGATATTAAGAAAGAGAAAGAGAGACGGGTCTCTTTCACTGAGACCATTAATAGGTCTTAGTGAAGAGCTTGTCTTACAAATAAGAAGTCACTCTGAAATACAAGCATATTTGCCCTTTTGCATCCACCCTTGGGATGTGTTTACTCCCTGTGCTTTCTTTTAATAATCAATCCAGATAAAGTTAACTGGCTGTTAAAATTAAAAATACAATTATACTTGGAAAATAAGAACATGCAGTCTTGAGCTCGTGATGGACCCATGAAAATGAATTAGGTGAAAGGAAGGGAAGGGAAAGGGGAGGGAAAGATATAGTACTGTAGGAGGACTCTATAACATACAAATTTTATCATTATATCATTTGTTTCTGGAATAAATACTCCTCTAGGGCAGCAACCATATCCTTATAAAGTGCTATGATTAGAACCTCATTTAGAGTATTTATTAAGTGGTACAAGGAGAGAATTAAACAGGGCAATGTAGTATATTTGTTCCAATCTAATTGTATCTAAGTATCTGCCACACAATGTATGATTCTGAGGTTAAATTTTATTTTGTTTTGACTTTTTTGTGCAGTCCTAGGGATGAAACCCCAGGTCTCACCCACACTACACAAGCACACCACCACTGAGCCACTTCCCTAGCTCTGCCCCACCTTCTATTAAATAAATAACTTCAAAAATGTAATACAAGTTTTCATGGGTATGTGTAACTATATAATGATGCCACCATGGTGATGTCACCAGAATTTTTTTTTTCATATTTTTTTGGCTGTAGATGAACATAATACTTTATTTATTTTTTATGTGGTGCTGAGAATCAAACCCAGTACCTCACATGTGCAAGGCAAACGTCTACCACTGAGCCACAATCCCAGCCCCCATGATGTCACCAAAAATTTTAATCCTCAAGTGAGAATTAAAACCAAAAAAAAAAAAAAAAAAGATTAAAAAAAAAATCAAATGAATTGAGGAAGGAGGAAAAGTCTTGTGCTCAATCTATCAAGATTCCTAATGTCAAAAAAAAAAAAAAAAAAAGATTCCTAACGTCTGACCATTTAACCCACAATTTGTTTTAAGTTACATACCTAAATATGTACAAGTGTACCATAATACATACCAAAAAATGGAGAGAACTATTATAGCAAAACCTTAAAGGACCAATGCCAAAAGTTAGGAAAAAAAACTCTCTCCAAAACTTGCTGACAATCATTCTAAAATGCATAAACCTATAATGGCTTAGTATTATATGTTAAATACTTATATTTCAATACATTTTTGATATATCTCAAAACTCCTAGAACTTCAGTTTACTTGATTTTCATTGCAAAGTAATTAAGAAACAGGGAAAGTGCTGAAGCAACTGGGCTGGATATACTCTGATTCTAGGTTCTGCCTCAGGCAATTAGTCATTTAGATATTATATCAAATCATTTACAATTTGATGTAAGAAAAGAGTACCACCTCCCCCAAAAAAAGGAAAAAGTAGTATTTCATTATTTTACTTGTATGTTTAGCTTGCTCATGGCATGATTAGTTGAATTATGTTTTTAAAGTCTCATATATGTATATATAGTGTATATGTATGTTATGTGTGCATTACAATGTTGCCAATAATCAATCCAGATAAAGTTAACTGGCTGTTAGAATTAAAAATACAGTTATACAATATCATTTTTACCTTCAGATTGTGTGTTTGATGCTGGTAAATTATCTGGTTGATGTGGAAGAGAGTGGTGATGATGGGGTTGATGGCAAGGATCAGAATCTGTGGATCCAAATGGAACATCTGGGGTATATGACGGTAAGGAATATGCACTGTGAGACCGCTGTTCCTGGGTAGTTAAAATGCTGGCAGATCCAGATGATGAAGTATCAGAACCAATGACATGAGATGCACAAGAATTTCCATTTTTAAACAGTGAGTCTTTCAAAGTATTCTTACTGGAGCTAAGACATCGAGACCTAGCAAGAGAACGATATAGTTTGAATATCAAATAGCAAATTGTAGAATTAAATTAATCTAAAAAGATGCTTCTGTAACTCACAGGTGTAAAGGAAAATGTGTGGTGGGTTTGGCTACAGAGAACTGTTTCCCTGTGACCATCTGTAGCAGTTGTCTGTAGATCTCTTTTTCTTCTTCTTGAACTGTCTATAAGACAAAAAAATAAAGATCTTAAATACATTCAATGAGACAAGTATTTCTCAAAGTAGCATCTAGATGAGATCCCAGAAGTTCAAATTTCTTTTTTTTTTTTTGTTTAAAGAGAGAGAGAGAGAGAGAATTTTTTAATATTTATTTTTTAGTTCTCGGCGGACACAACATCTTTGTTTGTATGTGGTGCTGAGGATCGAACCCGGGCCGCACGCATGCTAGGCGAGCGCATTACCACTTGAGCCACATCCCCAGCCCCAGTTCAGTCAAATTTCAAGCAGACTCCTAAAGGTAATTAAGAACTGTTGTACATTAGGCTGAGAGGTAATACACCTGTAATTCCAATGACTTGGGAGACTGAAGCACAAGGATGGCAAGTCTGAGGCCAGCCTCAGCAACTTTGCAAGACCCTCAATAACTGAACAAAACCCTGTCTCAAAATTTTAAAAAAATAATAATAAAAAAGGGCTGGGGATAGTGGTAAAGTACCCCTGGGTTCAACTCCTTCCCCAAATCTATATGTAAAAGAATATTCCAGATAGAGGAACAGCAAATGCAAAACCCTGAAATAGGAATGTGCCTGACGTATTCAAGAAGTAGTAAGGTCAGTGTGAATGATGGGAAGGGTAGAAAGAAATACAGTCACCTAGCCAAGAACTACACTGCATAAGAATAAAATAATATTAGTGATATTACTATGTCAGTTCATTACATCATTATTTACTGTAACCATATAAAACATCTACTCTATACAGATCCCCTGAAGCAATGGACTGTGTTCAAGAAGTTTCAGTTATTTTTTTTTTAAATCTTACAAACTGTGTAATATAACTACACAATAATTTCAAACACGGTGGTAGGGTTAGCAGCACCTTGCAGTGACATACAATACGTGCATAAGTATTTTATTCAATTACAAATATTTGTTAAAAGCCAAATGAATTAAATGATTAATTACAAAGGCAAATAAATACTTATTTTTTCTTCTTGAATCTTTAGTTGTTGCTACAGAGTAAATTATAATTACATTGCCAATATAATGTTACTCATCTACTAGAATATACTTAAACTGTGAGGCATGACAACTCCCTTTGAGGAAAAAAAAAAACTATCCTTAAAGGTGTATAGCTAAGTTAGAAAAGAAAGAACAGACCCAAGAGGAAAAACAACAACAAAAACAAAGAAAGAAACAAAAAACCCACAACAACAAAATCTTGCAATGCTCTATGTGGGAGGAAAAAAAAAAACCTCCATTATTTTATCCCTTAGATATTAATACTGTATTCAAGATGATGGTGACCTCCTGTTCCACAGTTTGTGAAAATACTATTTACAGTACTGGGCTGGCACCTCCATGATGGCACAAAAATAAGGCTAGAAACAGACATTACCAGGTATAAAGTAATATCAATAACCAAATCTGTTATTTTTGGCTATTCTACTGAAAAGAAAACACTTGAAAAACTTTTGTCTGTATAATCTTAAATTACCATTATGAAGATTCTTTAAGAGCAGAATGAAAACACATTATTATAGATTATTAGATGGTAAGAACAGTCTGTTGATCAACTCAACAGTGATCTTCTATATGCAGGAAATCTGTGTTAGCTGGCATTTTATGGACCAGGAGTTTCTGTATATCCTAAATTTAAGTGTTAACTCTTCTAGTATACCGAATAACCTAATCAACATACATTAAAGTTATCAATAGACTGTTTCCAAGAGTAGTTAAGATGAAAGGAGGGAAGGGAAATCAGGCCACCTGGGTCATAAAATTAAATCTTAATTAACCAACACTTTTAGTACATATCCACTGTCCCACCAAACTGGATTTTAAAAACCTTTGTTTATTACATCATAGAGGGAAACAATGTATATACCCCAGTATGAGACGTTACTTTGCAGAGCATCTCTTGATACCAAGGGAATGTTTTAAAAAAAAAAATCATTTCCATCACATGAAGATCTCAAAAGAACATGGAGTAAAATGAAACAGAAAAGATATTTGTTCCAAAGGTATCAACCACCAAAGTTAAAAACACTTCTTTCTCACATCACAGAGCCAACTATTTTCTCAGAATAAACTTTTATATTTATAAGATACAAAGAACCAAGGGATCATAAAGTAACTTTACTAACACAAATTAAGAGAAATCTAGATTAATTCAATGTAAAGATCTAATTAAAAAGTAATTTAACACACACTAGTCCCCTATAAATCATTTTCTCAATAAATGTAACTTCAAAGAAAAGATTTTGACCCTGAATAATCTCATACTTACTAGTGGACATAAAATAAAAAAGAATAGATTATCCTTATTCCAAACCCTTAAAGCCTCATGTTTCCAGTTTAAACTAATTTATGGTTTTAAAAGTTTAAAGTTTTCATTGTTTTACATATTATTTTGGAGGTCACAAGGACTTTTTTTTTTTAAATGATGGTAGGTACTTTTTCTTTCATTAAAACAAAAAAAATGAACGTTACGTTCTATTTGGAACCATTTCTGTCAAAGAAAAGATAGTTTAGGAAACATTCAAAAGAACATACATAACACTTGGTTTTACCAAATAATGCACAAAAACGGTAAGTCACTTGAAACATCAAATACACTCCTGTTTTAAAGCATCTAGTACTAAAAAATTTTTTAAAAACCACATCTTTCTCTCTATATTATTAAAGTGTTTTTATACTTAAATAAGAAATTAGGAAATGAAGAGGAAAAGAAGCAATAATTAGATAATATGTTGAAATTCAGGAGGCTGTCTAACATTACATTTAAAAAACTTAGTTTAGGACCAAATTTTAAACAGTGTAAGATTAATTAAGGTGCTGAATTCTACTAAGAAAAATATGTGACATATTCCTGCAATTAGGTGATATTTCTGCAAGAGGCTCCATCAAAAAATTGAACTGTAAGAGTATAACAATTTTTAGAGTGCACAAAATGAACCTTAACAAACAAGCCAATTATTTTTACAAATTATCCAAATAACTTTGTAATCTCCCTAACTTTTATTTTGCTTAAATAACTTTTAAAACATACAAATAAATTTCAAGTACAAAATGTATATCACTCAATAATTTTCTATTAAATTCAAATGCTTTGTTTATGACAAAACTGTAAAGCATTGAAGAGAAAGGAATAAAACTATCCTTGCCATTTATATAAAATCTAACATCTTAAAATGCTCAATAAGTTACAGAGAAGCATGTCTGGAAGTAATATGTAATTGTTCTTACCCTTTAAATTTTGTATTGTTGCTAGTATTTTCTCTTTTTCTAACAGAAATTTACATCCTCTATAACAAAAACTGGAAATGTTCTATAACTGTGCTGTGCAATATAGTAGCCACTACCCACATGTGACTAATGAATGCTTGAAATGTGGCTTGTGACTAAGAAACTAAATTTTTAATTTCATTTAATTTGAATTAATTTAAATAACACTTGTGGCTACTGGTTATCCCAACTGAACAGCACAGCTCCTCAATGCTACACTCTCAATCAGTTATTCTGTATAGCCACAACTTGGAGATTTCCAAATTCTTTCAAATCCCTGTGGTAAGTCTGAACAAACAGTTCAGAGGCAGCATTTTTTGTAAATATCTTCATATTTCTAAATTTGACAGACAAATCCAGCATTGATACCCAATCTTCATATTTTCTATTTTTTTAATTATACATGAAAATAGAATGTATTTTGACATATTATACATACATGGAGTATAACTTCTAATTCTTGTGGTTATACATGATGTGGAGTTACACTGGTCATGTATTCATATATGAACATAGGAGTTATGTCCAATTCCTTTTACTGTCTTTCCTATTCCCACCGCCCCTTCCCTTCATTCCCCTTTGTCTAACCCAATGAACTTCTATTCTCCCCCTCCACCTTTATTGTGTGTTAGCATCCACATATCAAAAAGAATATTCAGCTTTTGATTTTGGGGGATTGGCTTATTTTACTTAGCACAATAGTCTCTAGTTCCATCCATTTACTGGCAAATGCCATAATTTCATTCTTCTTTATGGCTGAGTAATATTCCCTTGTGTATATATACCACATTTTCTTTATCCATTCATCTGTTGAAGGACACCTAGGTTGGTTCCATAACTTAGCTATTGTGAATTGAGCTGCTATATACATTAATGTGGCTATGTCACTGTAGTATGCTGCCAATTTTCATTCTTTAAACAGAAGCAAATATATCTCTCTTGGAGATCCCAACATTCCCATGGAAATAACATTTTCTCCAGTTCATAAGTTTCCATCAATTAATTCTCTATTCATAAGGAGAAAATGTATTATTTCTGTATTACTGGTAATGCCAGAGATTCAATATTTAAATAATTTGCTCTAAGTTAGATACTAAAGTTGTTTCAATATTTGTCTACTCCTATGGATTATTCTATAGTACAAGTGGCTTGCTTTTCATAGTAGATACAGATCAAAAATCAACTGAGGAAAGATTTCCTGCACTTCATTTCATTACTTAGGTTCAATCCTTAGCATCTTCTTTGCACTGTAGTAGGAAGGAGAAACTACAGCCTCAAGTCCTGATTTAGCCTGTGCCTTGAAGGGTTGGCTGGAGGGATAAATAGTCAGTCCAAGGGGAGCATGGGTGGTCCAAAGGAGTAGCTGATGGGTGAATGTCAATCTTATGTTGATCATATGGAGATTACTCAGCTGCTATGCTGCTGCAGTTTCCTTCCCGAATCTTTCTGTACTCTTTAAGCTCTGGCATAAGCACAAGCCCCGTAAGTTCAGTAACTAAGAAAACATTATTTAGTTTGTAATAACTAATACATATGATACAAAATTCAATAGTACAAAAATATAATAAAAAATAAATCACCCTTTCATCATTGTTGCCCAGCTCTTATCATCAAAGGTAAATGTTGCCAGTTTCTTGTTTAGCTTTTGCCCTATGAAATGAGTTACTAGTTCTGCCATTCTTCCCTTGAATATTTTAGATGAACTAAAACTTTTAAAATGCACATTTTTACTAAACATTTGCTAAACTACTTCACAATAATCAGGTTTTGTTACTTGAGAGGCCCACTTGCCCCCAAAAACCAAATGGAAAAAGTAATGGGAAAGGCAGAAAAGAGACTTTAATCAGTATAGGTTACACCATAAGACAAGGGGACTGGCATCTTTTATCGTGTCTTCAGGGATACTGACCTGAGCTTCCATACAGACAAGTAAACACAGAAATATGCATAAGCAAACACTATTGGTCAAACTGATTGATCATTATCTCAGAATGGGAAAGAACCTTATCAGAGATAAGTTGCTATTATGAGGGGGTAGTTTCTATACCTTTATGGATCATATCTATTATTCCTGGAATCCAAGTGATTTGTGCTTATGCCAGAGCAAAGAAGACAGACGAAAAATGGAAGCAGAGATGCAAAGTCTTTTATCCTGCTTTTAATTACCCATTGGACATTTGTAAATCCAAGTAAAAAGTCTAAGTCCTTATTAAAGTTTTGACACCTAAGAAATCTTCAATTACCAAATTTTGCAATTATTTAGCAAATAATACTATAATCTTGTGTCCATGCTCAGTAATCTCCACTAGGCAAGAATCATATCACTATGTTGTATAAAAGAAGGCATACCAGAGGAGACTTACTCACAAGAGCTGGGTTCTAGGCCTGCCATTACTAGATGTGTGATCTCTGACTTTTACTTTCCAAATCTGGAAAATATGGATACTAACTCACTTTCACCTATTTCACTGGGTTAATGAACTCAGCATAATAATACATGTAGGAAGCACACTATAAACATTAATCCAGTATAAATGTAAAGTTATTATTATTCATTTCTATTTTCACAATAACCAGTTAATTAGATGTGTAATAAATTAGATGCTAAACAGATATATAGTAAATATGCAACTGAACAGGAAAAACCCTGATTCCTATTGTACAAATTACATGCGGTACTGTATTTACAAAATTTTATTTTTTTCTTTAGGTTTACTGGATGAATATAACAACTTAAGTGTCACCAAAACATCTTTTTTTTTTCTTTTTCTTTTTGCAGGGGATGGGGGAAATCTAGCACCTCAAAGATCTTACCCAAAATAAAAAGCTATAAATCATTTCATAGTCTTTTTTTTTTCTTTCATATTTAGGAAAAATTCATCCTAGTGGGAAGGACAGGTGTTCTATCAAATTTTATCAAAACAAAAACTGTTTAGCAAGTTAATAGTTTTGCCACTGGAAATAAAAATTTAAGGAGTCTCCAGGGAAAAAAGAGAAAGAACGAGCAAGAAAGAGTGACAGATTGATATATGAGAAGCCATTCGGGTAATAAGGAAATTAAAGCCAGTCACACAACAGAAACAGAAGATGGGAAGAAAAATAATGAAATTCTGATAAAATAGGTCTTTAATTCCTTTAGTCGAGATGTCAGAATTCAAGAAGAGTAAATAAGAAGAAAAAACACAGAAAGGATTAAGTAAATAGAGTAAGTATAAACACCTTATCAGAGGTAACAAAAGATCCTAACTTTTAGCAGCTTTTGATTCAGGTTTTCCTTACCTCTTCTGCTGTACTAACATGTCGCCTCTGAGTTTTCTTAGGGCTTAAAAGGCTTCGACGACATGAACCACTCCAAGATGGACTTGGAACAGGCTTAATAGGAAAAGATTTTTCATACGCAGACATGTGGCAGTGATGGTTTGACTTTCCTGTAAAAGTGTTTGATATTCCACTAAAAAATAAAAAGTTTGTAAGAAAGATAAAAACAGTTAAAATAAATCTAAACTAGTCATTATTCACTTTCTAGAAACAACTAAAACAGAATGATAAATTGACAACAAGGGGTCGTAGCCACTTAAAAGGTCTGCCCTTAAAAAAGGTCTTAAACTACCAAAACATACATAATCATCAAACATAATCATGTTTCTTAGATCCATAATATAGAACTTCCTTCAATTAAGAACCACATAGTGGTGTGGTATGACAGACAGCAAATCAGACTAGATTTCTTTGGAAAATCTGAATTTCAGATATGCTAAACATACATAAACATACATGAACCAAGGGCAATGTGCATGCTAGGCAAATGTTCTACCACTGAGCTATACCTCCAGCCCTATACATACATGTTCTATTACTCTACAACCCTGTGTCCCAAGCCCTTTTGATGGATTTACTTTAAATATTTAAAAATGGAGAGCTAAAACCTCACAATTAACTTTTAAACTGACTTTTTAAATTTCCTGAAAGACCAACAGGGGGCTCCCATCCTTCATTAAAAATAGAACACTTTTTATTAGGCTACAATACTGTGAATTCTTTTGGTTTCACCAGTCTCTGAAAATTTTGGTTTTGTTTCTTTTTATTACTTGTGCCCTTTATGGGAAAAAGTGGCAAGAAAAATTTCTGTGAACTCAAAAGCCCAGTCAAATCTCTAAGGCTTAATAAATTTAAGTTTTTTCTATGTGATATTTTTTATCTATCATTACCCAGCAAGTTTGTGGTACTATTACCATAATTAATTTTTCTTTTTCTTTTTTTCCTGCTGACGACTCAGAATAGTGTTACACCACTGAATTCAATGCAATCAACTCTTTACATCATTACATGTGGTCTGAATCCAAGTGGAATGAATAGGTCTAATGAAAATCAAAAAACACATAATAATACTCTCTTAACTTTTCAAGCTTTTTTTTTTTTTTTTTTAAGAGTGCTAGAATGGGGAAATGAGCAAGAACTTGGGATGGGAATGTAGCTCAGTGATAGAGCAAGCACTTGCCTAGCATGTGTGAGGCCCTGGGTTCAATCCTCTATAACACAAGAGAAGGGAAGTGGGAGCAAAGACTCAATTTCAGGAACAGGCTTATTTTCTTAGGCTTGGGAGGTACCACTATAAAAAGATGACAAAGGCAATATAATTGTTTACAAAGGATATAATGGTCTGGTATGGTGGTGCACGCTTATAATCCCGGCAGCTTGGGAGGTTGAGGCAGGAGGATTCTAAGTTCAAAGCCTGCCTCAGGGGGGATGGGGTTGTGGCTCAGAGGTAGAGTGCTTGTCTGGCATCTGCAAGGCACTGGCTTCAGATTCTCAGCACCACATAAAAATAAATAAAGTATACAATTTGATGTTTAAAAAAAAAAGCCAGCCTCAGCAATGGTGAGGCGCTAAGCAACTCAGTGAAACCCTATCTCTAATACAATAAAAAATTAGGCTGAGGATGTGGCTCAGTGATTGAGTGCCCCTGAGTTCAATCCCTGGTACCCCCCCCCAAAAAGGATATAACGGATTCTTCACAAGTCTTTTGTTATTTGTGCCTACTAGAATGTGCATGTTTTTAATATAAAAGATTCTTTTTTCTAAAAAACCAATATGAGGGTGTCATGCAATGCCAGAATGCCAGAAAACAAGGGTGCTATGAAAAACTAATGAAGTTGGGACAAATAGAGACAGACAGAAGCAAGCTTGAAGGGAATCCCACTCCCAAGTTGTGAGAATGGGAGCATTAAAAGCATAAAAATTGTAGTGACTTAAAACACACTGTACCTATGATACTCAAAATAGAACAGAAAAAAATTTACACAATGTGAAGTGACTATTATAATTTATCTTGTCTTTTCCATAGGTAATACATTTCATGGTAATCAAATAACTGAAAATTCAAACTGCCAATGATATAAAAAAAAAGAAATAATAAAATTAGAGAAAATATTACTTCATTAACTACAATAAAATAACTGTCAGATACAGATTATCAATTGATAATAATAACTATTAGCTAAATGGCTAATGTGAAAATGATTCTTCCTACAATGATAAAATAACATCATTTGGATTACATTTCTAATTACAAAGGGAAAACCTTAACTATACAATTAGGGACCACACTGCCATATCCCTAACTCCAAAGTCAATCTAGTATCACTAATGATATGAAAACCAACATAAGATACTATTGTTTTCTAATGTGTCATAATATAGCATCATCTTTTCTTCAAGCCAAAATCGAGTTTACAAGCTATATTTTTTGTAAATATAGCAGGGACAAAGAACAAAATAAGGATACCATAAGGAAGCAACATGTCAAATCCAAAAGGTGGAACAGAAAAATGTCATGACATTTAAAAAAAAAAAAAAAAAAGCGGCTGTCACAGACAACCAGAGACTTACAGGAAATAACTACCACATGCAATCTTAGATTAGATATTGATTTGGACTAACTTGATATAAAAGATACTTTGGGGTTAACTGAGAAAATTAAAATAAAATTTAGTGTATAAGACCAAATTGGAAAGGAAGAGAAGATTGACCAAAAAAGCAGATTATATTCCCAGCAACTTGGGAGGATAAGGCAGGAGGATTGCAAGTTTGAGAACAGCCTCAACAACTTAGTGAGGCCCTAAGCAACTTACTGAGACCCTGTACCAAAGTAAAAAAGGTTGGGGGGGTGATATAGTTCAGTGGTAAAGCACCCCTGGATTAAATTCTCAGTTCCAAAAAAAAAAAAAAAAAGAGAGAGAGAGAACAGAATACAGAAGGATATGTACAATATGAACTAATTTAAGATTATCTATGTAAAGGCAGAGAAAATATCTGAACAAAAATATTACAGAGTTGCTTTCAAGCTGGTGGAGATGTCATATTTTGTTTTTTATTTTTGCTTAGCTATATTTTCTAATTTTTTACTAAGCATATGTATTGTTTCTGTAACAATTAATTTTTTAAAGTTATCAGTATGGCATTATTCCATTAGAAAACCAACTTACTGAATAATATATATAGGAATCTTTAATGAAGATAACAATCAAACATTTCCATAGTATACATATCACATACATCATGCTATATATGAGTGAGAAACAGTGAGAGAGAAATAAGCACAGGAAAAGGTCTGGAAGGAAACACTAATTTGGAAAAATGAGATTGTGGGTGGTGGTCACTAATTTTTATTGGTAATGTTTTGATTTTTTACACTATAATGTAATTAATTTTTTAAAATATTTTTTTAGTTGTTGATGGACTTTATTCATTTATTTATTTGTGGTGCTGAGAATTGAACCCAGTGCCTCACACATGTGAAGCAAGTGCTCTACCACTGAGCCACAACCCCAGCGTGGTAATTAATTTTTATATTAAAAAAAATTAAAAAGTAGTAAAGCACTTGAGACCTGTTCCCAAAGTCCATGTGCTGATAATCATAAAGTTAAAAAAAAAAAAAAAAATCATGCCAGGCACAGTGGCACACACCTGTAATCCCAGCAGCTCAGGAGGCTCAGACAGAAGGATCGAGAGTTCAAAGCCAGCCTCAGCAAAATCGAGACACTAAACAACTCAGTGAGACAATGTCTCTAAATAAAATACAAAATAGGAAAGGGGATGTGGCTCAGTGTTCAAGTGCCCCTGAGTTCAATCCCTAGTGTAAAAAAATAAAAATAAAAATATTATCTTTTTGGTTTCAATCAACATCAGAAAGCCTTGATTAAACAGAAAATTAAATGATCTCACATTCCTGAAATTTGTTACCCGAAAGTTTAAGAAGTCCTAAATACTGTTAAAAAAGACATACGTGGGCTGGGGTTGTGGCTCCGCGGTAGAACACTTCCCTATCATGTGTGAGGCACTGGGCTCGATCCTCAGCACCACATAAAAATAAATAAAATAAAGGTATTGTGTCCAACTACAACTAAAAAAACAAAAAAAGTTTTTAAAGACATACTTTACAAATATAATAAAGTACCTGCGGTAAAATTTCTAAACTAAACTTCATCTGCCTTTAATAACTAGTATAAGTTTGGTAAGGGAATAGGTGGGCTTATACACTAGGATAAAGTTCTCTGTGATTCTCTAACAGAAGTTAGTTTAGGTGTAGTTGACTAATGCATAAGGTGTAGATCTGCTTTAGTTTGTCATGCCTCTGCTCATTTCATTGAACTGTAAAATGTGCTGGTTTCTTTGCTATTCAAGTTGCAGAAACTGATTTTCACTTTAAAATTCCTATTAGCCATATTTATCTCAAAGGATACTAAAATGCTCATATCCATTAAGATTTACCTTAAAAATCTCATCTAATGAAAAGATTTGGCTATCACCAAAATTCAGCACCAAATAAACTAAAAGTTGAAAGTTTAAAATGGATTTGAACATATAAATCCAAAAATGGCACTACTCATTTAAAATGCCAATAATAACGACTATCTTATAGCCATTTTCCCTTATATCTAAGGAAAGGATTAAAAATGAGATAAACAAAATACCAACCATGAGGCCTTTCGGGTTTCGAGGTAAAGACTTCGGCTGTTTCTGGATTTCTGTAAAGTTGAGCTTGATGCTGGAGTGGAATTTCTCCACTGGCCATTTGCACTCTGGCCAAAGGTTCTTAAGTCGCCTGAGCCAAGAAAACTGTCTGAGGAAGGGTTGTCTAAAAAAAAAATAAATAAAAGTTTGAATAAATTAAACCAATAACTACAGCTGGTTCTCTTTATGACTGCAACCATGTCCATCATTGTATTCCAAAGTAATGTGGCTTATCACCATGTCTCTCATGGACGAAAGATCCCAGTCTCAACTGCCAGTACAGTCTGCAGTAAGGAAACTTCTACAAACTATAATTGATTCAGCCATACTAACCTGAAAATTGATGAAGGAGCTGAATCCTGCCACAGCCATGTGCCTTATCTGCATCAATGTGACTCCGTGGTGTCCACCAAAAGTCAACATTTTACCCCAACTATATCTTGCAAGCACTCCCAGGCCTGGGCCTGAAAGAAGGTAGGCCAGACCAGTAAGAAAGCAGGTGGAGGGCCAAGGAGAATTGTAATTCAAATGAACAACAGTTATTGCTCAATAGCAGCTGGTGTCACTTTCCTCTTTCTAGTTACCATTTTTAAGACTCAGGGACTCTCAAAAAACACAGATAACCTAATTGCTGCTTATACTGGCCGGCTAGTTTCAGGTAGAATAATTTTATACCCTCCTCTATCAGCAAGATTGTAAAATATAAAATAGCTCCTTTAAAATAATTTCAAACATTAGGCTATGGAACTCGGAGGAGCTTCAGTGAAAAAACAGGAATGACAATTCTCTTTTTCCAGAATTTTTCTCTAATGCTCATATCATTTTGAAGATCCCCTTTCAAAGCATATTACTATAGAACTTTGCACAATACTGTGTATTTATGGCATTTAAAATATTTAACATGTCTTTTTATACTCTACCTAAAAAGCAAGCTAGCCCTTCAAAAATAAAATTTTGTGTTTTCTTAAGTTAAACAAGAAATCAGGATTCAGAGTAAATAGGGAGGAAAAAAGGTAAGCAGGAGTGGTGTTGGTACTCACTGATCAACCAATACATGAACTTAGTCTCAAAATTAACATAGGTTAAATTTACTTTCAAAACGAATAACTTTTTTCCTTTGTAATCACTATCCATGCTTAACATCTACTATTATTACTTTAAAGATAGAGACATAAGATACTGCAAATGAGTCTCAGTAAAAAAAACAGAAAATTATGATCTTTAAATGAAAAGTAATAATAGGAGAAATCTTTTGTTTCTCACAAAATTTGGCTAAATTTTGACTAGAGAATGGTCTACTTAAAGATGTCTATTTGAGGGGCTGGGGTTGTGGCTCAAGTGGTAGAACGCTCACCTAGCACATGTGAGGCACTGGGTTCAATCCTCAGAACCACATAAAAATAAAGATATTGTATCCACCTAAAACTAAAAAATAAATATTAAAAAAAAGATGTCTACTTGAGAAAAAAATCTGCACAAAAAGCAAATTACCCTGACACTGTGAAACTTGAAACCAAAGATGAGTTAAAATAGTCTTTTCAATAGCATGTGACTGTCTTCAGCTTTAAAATGCAAGTGAAATGCATAGGATCAGGCACTCTTAACCAGAATAAGGTGGTTCCATCCACTTAATGATTATCACTAAATAGTTTTCTACTGCTGATGGCATCAAGCTAGAGAGAGAGGGACCAACAGGAGGCTGCAGATATTCTTTTTTAAATGAAGATTTAACCTGATATTCTGTCAGCACCAAGAAATAGAGTTGCAAATGCCACAAATAAGATCACTTTTAATTTGTACATATATACACAAAAAAAAAATTAAATAAAATACACTGAAAATTTAATTGTGGATGTATTATAATGATAAAAGATGGGCTTTTGTAGTTTTCTCTACCAATTTTCTGTAGCGACAGGTTATACTTCCATAGTCATAATAAACTTTGTATTAAAAATAAGAGTGTCAGATAATCATTTACTATAAAAGTAATCATCGATAGCTCGTGTTAACTTTAGGATTTATTTAACTACTATAAGTAACAGGACAGTTGAAATTAAATTTTACCTACTAATGCTGGAGATTCTAAGCATTAGCAAAATCATTTCTTTTCATCTTAATATATTCGTTTGTTTTGTTGTTCAGGGCTAAAAATAAGACTTTTCATTGTGCTCTTGGTAAAAGTAAAGGTTTTGAAGCTTGACCACCACTAGTTTTTAAAGTGAAACAATGCTAGAATTTTGCATTCTAAAAATTCTTTTTAAATTCTATTTATTTATTTATTTTTATAAATATTTTTTAGTTGTTGTTGATACAGTACCTTTATTTTATTTATTTATTTTCATGTGGTACTGAGGATTGAACCCAGGGCTTCGCACATGGTAGGTGAGCACTTTACTGCTGAGCCACAACCCCAGCCCCCAAAATCTATTTTTTAATAGTCTAACCTTGAATGAACTGAGAATCAGTTTTCTAAAAGGCTTGATCTAGAGATGCATATACAATAAAGTTAATAAAAAAGAAACTCCAGACCCTTGATTTAAATGTTTGAGCTTTCCTGCTCATTTTCATCTTGGTGGAAGAGAGACAGTAGAGTGGGACAGGAGATCGAAGACTAAAACAGGTAAACTGGGAGTCCACATCTAGCCCAGTCAAAAGGTTAGACTCAAGGTGACTGACCACATAAATTAATGTGAAGATTATTAGAAACGATTATATCCAAAGGACCCTGTCCATTGAATTGGAATTGGTGTGGCAAAGGAAGAGTTCTCTAAAACTAAATGGTAAAAAATAGCTTTTATTTTCATTTTTGGAATGCTAGGAAGGGGACCCAGAGCCTTGTACATACTAGGTAGTTAGTCCTTCAGTAACTTATACCCCTGGACCCAAAAGCAGCTTTTAATTAAAATTAAAGACTTCAATATATGAAAAGTATCTATACTCTTGGCGTTCTTCTGATTGTTAGGCAGCAACCTTGGAGGTCTGTGACATGATAAAACTTATTTGATCAGGTAGGTACTAGATGAAATTTGGTAAAGGAACAAATTTGAATCCTGTTTCAAGCTGTAAATAATTGAGAAAATGAGTCTAACAGAGAGCTTGGTATTCCCATTTCGGTATGTCTTTATTATTCACTGTTGTTTTCTATATTCATTGTCATGCATCACGTGCATACAATTATGAATTTTTTTCCTAAAAATTTTCTAAGTTCAAGTGAGAAGTACACTTTAGTATAAGAGTTCTGATATGGGAATCAACTTGTGGTATGAAGATGAACACAGAATAGCTGAACAATCACATCACATAACTGAATAGAAAACTGGGAATCTAGTCCAATATTGCCACAGTCGAGAACATGAGGATCTGCAGTGATCTCAGATATATCTTTTATAAATATTAAAGGTCTACTAAAATTTAAGAGAAAAAAAGGTATTTATACAAATGTTTTTAAGTGAAGTTACTAATAACAGCTGAAAATGGCAAGAGTGAAGCAGACCTAATCACGGCAAAAATAATGAAGCAAATGAAGACATAGGCCCATTATCCCAAATCATAAACTCTTGGGGTCTATTGTATTTTTGAATGTAAAAGTTTTGGATTTTAGAAAAATAATCTGATATACAATATAACACTTCCAAGTATAATCTGAAGTAGCACTCTATAAATAAATTTATTGATGTGTCTTCACCAAAATATGTAAATACTCAAAATATGTAAATACTTAAAGAGATAAATAAAGATAGAAACAGCTTATGTCAATTAATATATGCTTTGCCAAGGAATTAATTCAGTTTAAGTCAGGTCAGGTTTTGATGTCAAATGAGTTATAAAAATATTTTTGATTTTCAGGGTTTTTTGGAGTTTGGAACTGCACATAAGGGATTATGGATGTGCTTATCAATTCTATGGATTAGAAATCAATGGAAAATAATAAATATGAGGAAGAATATGTGAAACTTAAAATATGGAAGAATATGGCAGACTAAAAATATAAACATTGATATAAAGAAAGATTTTATGTGTTGAATCATACAATGTGTACCATGAATATATGCAGATAAAAATCATAAGAGGCCTAAGAGAGTGGAGTTAAATAAGAATTAAGGTACAGTCTGGGGACTTTTGAGTACAACTGTCTATTCAACCGGTTATTATTAAGCAATTATTTTAAACCTAACACAAAGGGATTCTATCCAATGGTAAAATGGAATATGAAATTGTAAGCAAACAGGCTGAATTCAAATAGAAATATTAATAATCTAATTTCATTAACCACAACTAGCCTTTCTCTAGGATTATTTAATGAGCTATCAAATTGGATTTCAGGCTCTCTGTTCATAAAGGCCTTTTCAATAATAAAGAGAGGGCTGGGGATGTGGCTCAAGCGGTAGCGCGCTCGCCTGGTTTGCGTGCGGCCCGGGTTCGATCCTCAGCACCACAAACAAAAATAAATAAATAAAAAAATAATAATAAAGAGATATTACGGTAACAATGAATAATAACAACAATTGAGTTAGTTTCTGAGTTAATTAACTGATGGTTCTTTAAAAAACTGATTTTTCTATGCACATATTACGTGGAGGTCACTGCCCACCCAAAGAGAGGAAATCAGTGCCCAGGGTAGATAAAGTACTACATCACATTTAAATATAATATAAATCTAAAAGAGCATCATACTAACGTCTTTTTAGGGGAGGAGATCTCATCTTGGTGACAAAGAATCCTGAGGAAGCCAAATAACAAGAATAATTATTATTTGCAATTCATATTTATCATCTGTTTATCCTTATAATAATCTCATTTATGCAGATTCAATGATATTCTTAGTATTCCCATTTTTGGAGTAAAATGAGGAGACTGAAATATAGAGTGAAAAGACCTTGAGTTATAATGCCAATGGACTAACCAACAAAAAATTTCTTCATTTCTCAAGGCAGAGGCATAAAATCATGGGAAGTCTAACCCCTAGGAAGGAAGATGATAAGTCAGGCAGGTCAGGGATAGGAATAACCTAGAAAATGCTGACTTCTGTCATGGATCACAAGTTGATTAGGTAAGCCCTTGAATATGCAAGCATATGGCTGTGGCAGGTGCTAGACAGAAACATGTAGTTAATATTTCCTGCCCTGATGGAGGACAAGCTTGGGTGGAAATAAATTTTCAGGTACGTTTAGAGCAGAACAGAAATAAATCATCTCTTTGGTTTAAATCAATGCAAAACAGATACCTTTTATGTCACATACACATATCCAAAAAGTCAAAAACAAATAAAGCCATTTTGCTTTCTACAATGCAAAAGAGACAAGTAGAACTGATTCCAAAAAAAAAACCCCTTCCACTAAAAAGTTAGTATCTGGTTGAGACTAGGTCCATAAAGTATTATAATAATCAAATACATACACATAAAATGAAGTTTTAGTGAAGAAAATGCCATTTTGCTTTTGCCAATGCTTTTGTGTGATAAACACAAAAGATTTGCTAGGAAGAAATCTGAAAGGTATAAGTACCTTGACTACAAGTAATGTGTCATACCTGCGTAATAATTTGGACTATAAGCTGCACTTCTTGTGGAACATGTTGTAAAAGATCGGCCCGAATTTCCTTGCCTGGAAGGTAAAATCTAAACAAAGCAGAAAAATTTTCTTAAATCATATTTTCCACAATAAAAAGGAATAAAATTTTATATTAAGAAAAACATAACATTAAACAGGAATATGGCATTTTTTGCAATTTAATTGTATTATATTGTGTTTTTACATTATATATTATAGGGGGCTGGGGATATAGCTCAGTTGATAGAGTGCTTGTCTCACATGCACAAGGCTCTGGGTTCAATCCCCAGCACCGCCCCCCCAAAATTATATATTATAAACTATATACTAATAAAGAAAATACAAACAATCTGGTGAAATAATTCAGGTTCAAGGGGGAAAAATGGATAAAATATCTGCTATAAAACCTAATTTAAAGAACATTCCTTAGAAAATAAATGCATAGAAAGAAGGAACACGTAATCCCAATGACTCTGGAGGCTAAGACAAGATGACTGCAATTTCGAGGCCAGTCTCAGCAACTTAACAAGATCTTGTATCAAAATAAAAAAATAAAAAATAAAAAGGGGTGGGGATGTATCTCGGTGGCAAAGCATCCCTGGGTTTAATCCCTAGAACCCACTCTTCCTCCCCATAAAAAAAAGAAAGAAAAAAAAAATAGAAAGTGAATATGTACTTGGTACCTTCTATCTAAAAGCCACTTGCAACATGTATAACAGAGGCTGAGAAAATCTTTTGAAAATTCTGAAGAGATACTTATTAATCAGGGAGGGTGCTGTATCTCTAGTACAAATCTGAAATGTATAAATACATACTCATTATCTAAACAATTATGGTGGCAGGGTGGATGCTACCAATATTCAGTGGCTTTCCTATTATGCTTAGAACAGCAAAGAACTATCTCATCAAGTTACTAATGGCTTTCCTACTGAAAAAGACAGCTTATTAATAGTGTTCCTCACACTTTAATGTGTATATAAATCAGTTGGAGATATTTTTATTTTTTTTTTTTATTTTTTTTTTTTTTTAATTTTTTATTGTTGGCTGTTCAAAACATTACATAGTTCTTGATATATCATATTTCACAATTTGATTCAAGTGGGTTATGAGCTCCCATTTTTACCCCATATACAGATTGCAGAATCACATCAGTTACACATCCATTGATTTACATATTGCCATACTAGTGTCTGTTGTATTCTGCTGCCTTTCCTATCCTCTACTATCCCCCCTCCCCTCCCCTCCCCTCCCCTCCCCTCCCCTCCCCTCCCCTCCCCTCTTCTCTCTCTGCTCCCTCTACTGACATTCGTAGGAGATATTTTTAAAATGCAGATTCTGATTCAGTGGTAGAGGGTGATACCTCAGATTCTTCATTTCTACCAAGCTCCCAAATAATGCTGATACTGTTGGTTCTGGGTCAGACCTTAAGAAACTAAGATTTATAGCACAGGCAAATCTCAGAGTGGCTGTATTTTGTACACACACAGAAATAATGCTCAGTTATTTTAAAACACTAATTTAAAAAGATTGATCTACATAATGACAGTTATAATATTCAAAGGAACCATGAAAAGTTTTCCAAAAGATATTTTTCTCAAGTAATTCATACATATACTGTCTTTTTAAACTTTGTCTTGTCTTTAATATACCAACCAGAATTCCAAACACTAAAATTATTCATTGTAAAAAGTTTGCATGTTTAGCCAGGCGTGATGGCACATGCCTGTAATCCTAGTGGGCTCGGGAGGCTGAGGCAGGAGAATCCTGAGTTCAAAGCTAGCCTCAGCAACAGCCAGGCGAGGCACTAAGCAACTCAGTGAGACCATGTTTCTAAATAAAATACAAAATAGGGCTGGGGATGTGGCTCAGTGGTTAAGTGTCCCTGAGTTCAATCTCTGGTACAAAAAAAAAATTGCATGTTTATATTTTTGGAGTGAGGCATTTATACTATATCAGATAAAAATTTATAATGAGCAAATTAATTAAAGGAAGAAAATCATTCCTAACCTGCTGGTCAGAAAGTGAAATCTGGTCCTCTGGAAAACCTGATTGTGGCAGGAGGTGGGTTTTGAAGATGGAGTTGTGGTTCACTAATGTTACTTCTCCAGCATCCATCCTCACCCTATCAGCAATATCATCTGGGGAAAGAATCTATATTAGATCAAGTCATATGATTCTTCAATAACTTTTTTTCTATGAACAAATCTTTTCACCTAATGATTCCCAAAGAACAACTCCAGTCAAACAATACCCCTCCTTCATAGCTAACCATTGGCATGAAACTTCAAAATGTCACTGTCAAAGGCGGACCATATGGCAGAAATTGGCTCATGCAGAATTGAGATCACCTACCAAATGGTTCAAAACTTATATAAGAATAAAAACAGTTTGATTTCAAGTTTTAAAATATTAAAATGTCCTCAAAATAAAACTTTTAATGTTTTAACTACAAGAAAATTGAATATTTAAAAAATTTGGAAACCAGGCACAGAAGTGTATACTGGAAGTCCCAGCTAATGGGATGGAGAAAAGAGTATCTTTTTTTTTTTTTAATATTTATTTTTTAGTTGTAGGTTGACACAGTATCTTTATTTCATTTTTATGTGGTGGTAAGGTTTGAACCCAGTTCCTCATGCATGCTAGGCGAGCACTCTACCACTGAGCCACAACTCCAGCCCCAGAAAGATTATCTTTTGAGCACAGGAGTTTATGACCAACCTGGGCAACACAGCAAGACCCTGTTTCTTCAAAAACAGATTGGAGGGCTGGGAATGTAACTTAGTTGGTAGTACACTTGCATACATGCATGGGATCTGGGTTTGATCACCCGCACCACATACATACATAAATTAATTAATTAATTGGAGAGGAGTGTTTCACCACTTAGAAACAAAAACTGCCCACACTGGTTTATTTCATGTTTTAACTCAGAAAAGTGCTTACTTGGCTCTTATAGATATCAGTTCAATTACTGTAATATCATGGCAGAATCTTACTTTAAAAACATTTTTGAGACCTTTTTTATTATAAAAGAGCTAAAACAGGAACAAATAATAGTTAAGGGAACTTAATGACTTACACGGATAACAGCAATGAGAAAGAATGTAAATAAATGACCAGCAAAAGAAGGTTGACTAATCAACAGAAAAGAAAGGAGGAGATAGTAGAGGATAGGAAAGGCAACAGAATACAACAGACACTAGTATGGCAGTATGTAAAAACGTGGATGTGTAACCGATGTGATTCTGCAATCTGTATACGGGGTAAAAATGGGAGTTCATAACCCACTTGAATCAAATGTATGAAATATGATATGTCAAGAGCTATGTAATGTTTTGAACAACTAATAATAAAAATTTTTAAAAAATTATATTATCGTGCTCTGGCAACAAAAAAAAAGAAAAGAAAAAATGGAGGAACTTTGGGCAAAGGGGAGAGAGGGATAGGGAGGAGGCTTGGGGTCAGGAAAGATGGTGAAATGAGATGGACATCATTACTCTAGGTATATGTATGACTACACATATGGTGAGACGCTATATCATGACAACCAGAGAAATGAAAAGGTGTGCTGCAATTATGTATGATGAATCAAAATGCATTCTACTGTCATATATACCTAATTTATATAAATAAATTAATAAAAAATGCAGATAACAAAAAAAAAAAAGAAAGGAGGAGATAAAAGGCCAATGTGAATTTAAAAGAAATATATGTAATGTTATAAGATCTTACTGTATAGCTTTTTCAGTTTATTCCTATATGGGTTATTACTTCTGAACTTATATGGATTTCTTTTACAGACATGAAGTACTATAAATGAAATAGTGGAAAATGTCCTAGTCACAATGAATTCTCAATACCACTAGTTAAATGAAACATTTATCTTAATCAAATTATTTATCACATAGAAGCATTTTAACATAGTATTAAAGAATAGGGTCTCAAGAACCAGAATTATTTAAATCCTGGCTCTACCCTATATGGTACATGACCCTAAGCAAGTTTCTTAATCTATGTGTCTTATTTTCCTTATTTACAGGGAAAATGGCAGTATTTCTGTTGTAGGTATTATTAAGTATCCTTGTAAGGTGGCCAAAATAATTAGATTAACATTTTAAATAATTGGACAGGCACATAGTAAGCACAGCAAATATTTACTAGTGTATGATTGTTTTTTTCAATACAATGAATATGAATGCTCTTAAAGGACTCTAAACAATATCCTATCCAAGAAAAAATTATGAGTGGTATATAGCATTTCATAATTAATATATTAAGTTTTCCCTTAAAATTATTATTACACACAAAGATACAACTATTGAAAATATCAGGAAAACTCATTGTTTCAGTCCAGCTTAACTCATCAGAATAACTAAAACAACTGAATGAGTACTTTATGGTTACTCTTACCCATGTCAGGTCTTTTCACATCACTGACTTTAGCAAAGATACAAAGTCCTATTTGAAAAAAAAAAAAAAGACAAAACAGAAACATTACATAGTGAAACATATATTTATAAAACAGGAAGTCATTAGAAGTGACAATTTGTGTTTTTTAGTGGAGAAAAATCTAAAGTGGTTGAGAGAGTTGACTTGATGGGAAGAGAGTGGAAAATAAAATTGGCCCTAGGTGCTTCCAAACATTTGTGGAAACTGCTACAATCAACAGCAATTAGAACCCAAAGAATCATAGAATATTAAAGCAAAAGTAAGTTGGGCAGCCAGCCCTCAGGAGATTCAGTAATTTGCATAAAGTCTGTGACTACATTGAAATTCTAATCTAGAAATTCTCCCCAATCCATTGCTTTTTCTATTACCTCAAACTAAACCATTTTACAAAAGACAGGCCTTAAAATGATCCTATTAAGGTTTCTCTTTCCATACATCTCATTCAGTGACCAAATATAAAGCTGCCGATTTGTTGAGGACAATGAAGGAATACTTTAGGATCCTATAAAGTACTCCTTTCACAGAATTATCCATCAAACTGCTAAAAACTAGGATTGGGGATATAGCTCAGAGCAGAGTGCTCGCCTAGCATGTGTGAAATCCTAGGTTCAATCCCCAGAGCAGCTAAGAAAAAAAAAAACTGCTACAAACCAAAGCCCCTATACCCATATCATAGTCCCCCTTATCAGCAGAGAGTATGTTCCAAGGCCCCCAGTAGATGCCTGAAGTTGTAGACAGTATTGAACCCTGTATATATACATCTATATATGTATGCAAAAAAACTGTGTGTGTATATATATATATATATATATATATAAAATTCATAATTAATCACATATATACTGAAATTTATAAATTGTGTTATTGGGAATAGTAATAGATTAGCAACAACAATAAAATAGTTAATAACAACAAGCTATAATAAAAGTTACATGAATGCAGTGTTTCTCTCAAAATATGAACTGTTCATTTAATTATTTTGAAACACAGTTGACTATGGGTGACTATAGAAAGTGAAACCACAGATAAGAGGAGACTTTTCTCACTGTCTTCTCTTATATATCTACTTTTTCCAGGAAAAAAAAAAGGGGGGGGGGGAATTTAAGAGTCTAAGTACTTGGAACTAGGTTAATAAACATCCTTGGCACATATGATTTTTTGGCAGACTCTCCAGAGGAGGAAACTAGGGATAGTAATACTCATACCTATATATATTCATAATCTTTATCACCTTATTTTAAAAAAGATTGATCACTTCATCAAGTACACAACAATACTAGAGCTTCAATGTATTTTGAAGACTGGCTGATAGTAGGGATTCTTTGTGGTCACAAGAAGAAGTGCATATGCAGAGTAAGGCTGCTTCGGTTTTTCTTGGCAGAGCTTTCAGACTAGGCAGAGTAATCAACTGATTACCTAGGCTTGCCAGGGAGGAATAGTTTAGGCCTTAGATTTAGCTTTCAAATATTCAAATTGATTTCCAAATGCTCAACAAAGGTTTTCTATCTGGATTTTCTCCAGATTCTCTAAGAGAGAATTTCCTAGGTTCTAGATTAAGGGAGAAAAAACTATATCAACCAATAAATCAGCATGCTTTTTTCACATTTCACTCTTTCAGGTCACTTCCTAATTGCCATCACTAGCTTTTTTTAAAAGAAGAATGACAATTGAAAAGTCTAATGCCCAGTAGAACAACTCCATGTTAATTTCCTTTGCATTTTTCTGAGAAAGAGGGAAACAAGCTAAAACATTCAAAGAATTGTTGAGATTATGTCCAGAAAGGTTAAATGACTTGCCTGAAGACACAGAGGGGGTAAAGGGAAAACAAGAATCCAAAATCCTTGACTCCCCAGCAAATGCACACTTCAAAAATAACATGACTTTATATATATTAACATATCTTCATTCAAAGAATCTCTAGCTAGTTCTGGGGACTCTACAATGACATAATTTAATAGTTAAAGCATCACATTTACATTTTAATACAAATATAACCAGCTTCTTCAATGTGCTTACAATATTTTCTTTAGCAATTACATTAGAAGAAAAGATATTTTATCCTAAGATTCTGCATGAAATGCTGGATCAGGAACCTTTGATGCCACCAAATTCTTGCAAGGATAATAATTTTTTCTTTTAATAAATTAATTTAATAACTCATTTCCTAGTATACACTGCTCATTCAGTTTACTGAAAGAACATAAGCAATTATAGTTATTAAGGTGAATAGAGTTAGTGGCTGAACTCAAGGTAATGGGAAATCTGAAAGGAAAAATAGATGAAAAAGTCCTGACTTTAAAACAAAAAATTAATGTGTGGCAAAACATTTATAAGCTTACCTGCAAAGAGGTGATTATAAAATAAAATGTTTAGGGCTATGATGAAGTTACCAGAAAATTTATATTGAGAGAGGCATTGTACAATGGAGTTAGAACAGTTTGTGATATGAGGAGCCTATAGAAGTAACCATGTGAACCAACCTGAGCTCTGGAAAATAATTAATGATACATTTTGTATTATATATTATGCATTTCAGGTTTTTCCCCTTAGTATTTATATATGTAATCTTTCCCAATTAGACTCTAAAATATTAAGCATCTTAATAATCTATCTTAAACAGCAAATATTTAACTTCTTTCACACACATACATTTATTATGCACTTAAGTGCAGGGTACTGGAGACACAAAGATGAATAATAACTGGTCCCTACCACTGAGAAGCTCACTGTCTAGTAAGGGAAGCCAAACCCATAAACATATTCAATAAGACCGTAAAACTGGTACAACTGGTAAAAGATGTGGAAGTCAGTGGGACAAAAAGGACTGCCAAAGCAGCAGTCGAGTTACAACACTTTAGCCACAAGTAGCAGAACCTGTTTTTGTATCCATCCACTCCAACTTAATTCATCAGATGGGTGATAAGACCATCTTTGCAGTTGTACTATTTAACTGAAATCGCGTAAAAATGAATGAAGTTTCCTAAAAAGGACTGGGTGGGGATGGGGGAGAAACCCTGAAACTGAAAGGTTAAGGGATTGTGCTTAGTGAGATGCTTGAGGTTTCACTGTAATTTCAAAGTCAGTATGATCTATATTTCAGCCCAAGTCCCTAGCACAAATTTTTATGAAGAATAAAGTTTTAGGAGAGATGTAACGTATTTCATTCTGAATATCCAATTACAACAAAGACCTTAAGTCAGTCAGGCAGTTGGTAGTCTATAGAAGGCTTCATATAAATTTTACAAGAATCACCACCACTCCAAATACAATAAGTGTACCAAAGGTGAACTGAAATAACTTTAACAAGTCTGACTTGAAAGTGATAAAGGAGCAAGTTATTGCCAACAAGATAGTGGAAATACTGCAGAGGCACTGATAAACAGAAATCACCAAGCTCAAGACAAGAGAAACTGTGCATATATCCAGAGAGATCACGTTAGGGTATACCAAAAAAGAGACGGTTCAAGGGAATTACCGGGAGGCGATGAGCCAGGTAAGCAAACTGTGGCAATTAAGGGGATTTTCATAACCTGGGCAGGAGGGTCCAGACGTTCTTTCTGGTGGTGGCACTAGCGATATCACATCTCAGGGAGATACCACAGAGTAAAAAAGAGTTGGAGAATTGTTTACGTGAGATGCAGAAGTAGCCGAGAAATACCATTCAGGTCTCAAGGAAGGCGAGAGGTGAAGCAGGTGTGATAGAAAGCTGAGCTTCCCGGTGGAAACAGCTCTCCCTTGAGAGAAGACCCTGCTCTGGCGGGAAAGTCCCGGAATCCCAGCCGGCCTTTTCCCCACGAGTAGAGCTGAGCGTTAAGATGCGGCCTGCTCTAACGGCAGATAGACTGCCTCTCCGCAGCTCAGGAGAAACAGGCCTGAAAGAACGGCCTCAGGAAGCCTAACTAACGGAGACCCGCCAGACCGCGGCCGCCGGACAGCCGGGGGGAGGGGAGGTGGTCCCAGGGGGCGGGGCAGAGGAAAAAGCGCCGTCCCCACAGCGGTCCTCGCTTCCGCCCAGCCCAGCCTAGACTAGCGTGCCCGGTCCGACACAGCCTCCGGGCCCAGGCTCCCTCCATCCTCTCCCCTCCCCCAGCTTCCCGCCGCCACTCACCGAACCGGAACCGGCTGCTTTGCAAAGGGGTTTCCGGCCAGCCGCGGAACGCAAAACCCGGGAACCGCCGCGAACCGGAACCGCCTTCACAACACCGGAAGAGCGCTGGGTGGCTGCCGAGGAGGGGGTGGGGCAGAGGTCAAAGAGCAGAGCTGAGGACCCGTGGAACGCCTGCGCGGTGTGGGCAGGCTGGAGACACCGAGGGAGCGTTTAAGGCTGTAGTCATAATTTCCCTGTTCCCCTTTCAGTCTGAGCTTTTTCTCTTTCTCGTACTCGGAATACCGTTAGTGCGTCCTTCGTCCTTTGCTTTTCCCTGTTCCCTCGGCCCACGTACCCGCTGCCTTCTGGTTCCGCATGTCGATTTTTGCTTAAGCTTAAGTTTCTGTGGTAGCTTTTTGTTGTGGCCCTAGATGTTTGAGAACCTGTGGCTTCCTGAGAGATATCAGCTATCTGCTCATATTTTTATATGAGATTTAAGTTGATCTCAGGCTATATTATAGCTTACTGAGAATCACAGAACGTTAGTGTATGTAGAGGTTATTGGAGATAATTTAGTCTAACAGTTTAGTGGAATGAAGTCATTTCTCAAAGCTAGAAACTGTGTGGCAGATCTAGGACTAGGAAACAAGTTTCTTAACTTGCAGCCTTGTACCCTGCATCATATCTTGCTTGACTGACAATTCAGAGAGAGAGAAAAAAAAAACAACTTGGGGACAATTTAGGTTAGACTTTGACAACACGTAAACCCTTCCTGCACTTTGGAGGAGTTTGAAACACAGGCATGATCTCTAGACCCACAGTGATTTCTGGACCCAACAGAAAGATATACTTTTCTAGATAGAGATAAGAAAGGACCCAAGAGTCTTGACTTCTGAAGTGTTCCTTTCACTATTACAGGGACCCTAATGATTAACCTGTAGTCTGTGCCATATTTTTGGAGAAAATGATGGAAGAAAAATGTTCATTTAGTCTGTTTACCAAGCCCCTCAATTTGTTTGGCCTCTAATGGAGGCCATGTGTAATAAGTCTTGAAGAAACACTCTCGGTAGGCACTCTAGACCCAGAAGACAGCCAACAATTTTAGCCCAATCTTGAAGGGAAGGCTTTGGAAACTCCCAGCCTTTCCATTCTCAACAGCTGGGAAATAGGAAACTTGCTGAGTTCAGAGGATCCTGCCCTATCAAATGTATAAAAGTACACTATCTGTATCACCTCATAGGCTAATTTGAGGGACAGTTATGGGGACAGGAGTACCTCACACCAAGCTACACCCCCCAGCCCTTTTTACATTTTTATTTTGAGGCAGGGTCTCTCCAGGTTGCCCAGCCTGGGCATAAATTTGTGATCCTCCTACCTCAGCCTTCTGAGTAGTTGGAGTTTCAGTACGGTCCACCACACTTGGCTATCTGCTGATATTTTTCTATGTCAAATCTTAAGACCTAGTATATTGAACATACCTAGTCCATATTAGTTATGGACACCTTAATCCTTCCACAGATCTATTCATTTGGATTAAACTCTGTATTTATTTCTAGGAAATAATCATGCATAAAGAAGAATTTCAACTGAAATTTTTCATGTGTGTGATTCAATCTCGCCGAATAGTCAGGACTTCTGAGGAAACAGGTATCATTGTTTCCTGATCATACTTCAGTGACAGGAATTGGGTTCTCTCACAAGGAGCCTCGATACAGGATATGAACTTTACAGATTTAAGGGGTCAGATGCCCTTGTTTATTCCCTTCCAATTATGATATTTGTCACCAACTCATTAAAGGATAGGAAAGAAGTTGACCTGTATGAGAGATAGGGCTCAGGTAGAAAAGAAGGACTTGGAAGTTGAGGGAAACATTATAGCTGATGAAGTGGGTTTTGATTTCTATGTCCTTTGTAAAATATTCCAACTTGACTGGGCTTATCTGTGGAAGTCATGATTGCCGTTATAAATGAAACTTCAAAACCTGTAGGCTAAATCAAACTCATCCTTCCTCAAAATGACCTTCTCTTCTACCGTGGCCCCAAGATAGTAGTAATGTGTTCAGATTTGCCCTTGCTTATGTCAAAGGAATAGAATCTTTTTGAAGTGAAATAGTTGTTGAGAATAGCCTTCACTTCTCTTATTTTCCACTATATTTATTGGAAAGAAGGCTATGGACAGATGAGAGTCATAGAGAAGATGAAAGGAAGTAAGAAGCACTCCCTTCTCTGAATCCCACCTTGATGGTAACCTAGAGCTTTTGCTTCTCAGCTGGGGAAGCTTCAACCTCCAGCATGCTCTTCCCAAAGCCACCAGCAAAGACAGATAGCTTGAAGAATCTAGACACTGTGGAAAATCCAGACACCGTGGGAAGCATACCTATTATGAAATATGGTGAGGCATGTGGGTCAATAAGGGGGAGGAGTGTGGAAAGGAATATTGGAAGATGAAAAGTTTACACATAGTGTTATAAATTAGAGTAGATCTGTAAGAGTGAAGTATGAGTTAAGACACAAATGAGAAAGTGTGTGTGTGTGTGTGTGTGTGTGTGTGTGAGAGAGAGAGAGAGAGAGAGAAGAAAATAATTTCAGAAACTTCAGAAAGAGGAACACTTCTATGAAGAATAGGTTGCTTTACTCAATATTTGTAATTTTTCTATTGCCCTAACAAAATACCTAAAGCTGGATAATGTATAAAGAAGTTTATTTACCTCACAGTTTTGGAGACTGAATGCTGAAGATTGGGCAGCATCATTTGTTCAACCTACAGTGAGGGCTCCCTTTGCTGCATCACATCATGGAGATGATATCATGGCAGCATGTGTGTGAGAGGGAGAGAGCACAAGGTGAAACAGGAAACCAGAGAGTGGGGAAGGGCCATTCTGGCTATTTTATAACAACATTCTGCCATGGGAACTAACTGTGGTCCTGTAAGAACCTACAGTTGAACCAGGGCAGTGCTTCTAGTGACCTAATCACTGGGCTCTACCTCTTAAAGATTTCACCACCTCTTAAAATTCCCACACTGAGAACTAAACTTCCAATCCTTGGGAGACACACACAAACCATATCTAAACCATAGCTATTTAAATCAGTTGGCTCCCTTATTACTGTAAGCTTCTAATGTGGCTTACCCTATTATCAACAACCTTGGTATTGAAAAATGTGGAACTTAACTTAAAAATTGATCAACTAGTGAGTTATGATATTATAAAATGATTCTAAATACTGTTAAAAATTACCTTAGGAATCCATTTAATAAGAAGTATCTCTTGGGGCTGGGGATGTGGCTCCAGCGGTAGCGCGCTTGCCTGGCATGCGTTCGGCCCGGGTTCGATCCTCAGCACCACATACAAACAAAGATGTTGTGTCTGCCAAAAACTGAAAAATAAATATTAAAAATTCTCTCTCTCTCTCTCTCTCTCTCTCTCTCTCACTCTCTCTCTCTTTAAAAAAAAGAAGTATCTCTTGTGTATTTTAAATAATGTTCAATTCACAAGTAAATTTTTTTAGACTTTATTTTTTTCAATATATGAGGTGCTGAGAATCAAACCCAGTTTCTCACACATGCTAGGCAAGTGCTGTACCACTGAGCCCAATACCTACCCAATTCACACATAATTTATATAAACTTTCAGAAAAAAATCTATACATTTCTTCTCAACTTAAATGCATCTATATTGGAATCAGTGCCCTGAAAACACACCTTGAATTCCACCATGTGCCCAGTAATATACTGGAAATAATAGAGATGTTATAAAACTTATGTTTAATTTATATCCTTATCATTGACCCAGTACCTTACAGTTCAAAAATGCTTTAGAGATTATTTATCCCAATTCCCTTATACTTTCAGGAGGAATTAAAGACCAAAAAGGTTTTCCTCAAGAAGTTAAGTTTGCCAGACTGGTGGTTCATGCTTGTAATTCCATCAACCCAGGAGGGTGAGGCAGGAGGATAGCAATTTCCAGGACTTCTCGGGAAGATCAGCAAGATCCTGTCTCCAAATAAAAAATAAAACCCGGTATCTAGGAATATAGGTCAGTAGTAGAGAATCACCAGGTTCAATCCCCAGCCCTTTTTTTCATTTTGAGGCAGGATCTTGCTAAGCTGCTGAGGGTTTCTCTAAGTTGCCCAGGCTGGCCTTGAACTTGCTATCATCCTGCTTCAGCCTCCCAAGTTGCTGGAATTATAGGTATGTGCCACCGTGCTGAGCTGAAATTCAACATTTTGAACCAAAGTTATCAAGTTCTTACTTACATTGTCTTATGTTATCTCCCCTCCTCTCCTTGATCATAAGCTCCTGGGGAACATGGGAAGTATCTAGTTCATTTTCTCATCTCCTACTGAGTCTTGTACAATGACTTCAAATAGTAAGTGCTCAAAAAAGTATGAATAAATACTGCTATTTATTTCAGAGTAATTAATTTCTTCGTGTGTGTGTGTGTGTGTGTTGTGTGTGTGTATTTTATGGGGATTGAACTCAGAGGTTCCCTACCACTGAGCTACATCCCCAGCTCCCCTGTTTTATTTTTAATTAGCAAGACAGGGTCTTGCTAATTTGCCCAGGCTGGCCTTGAACTTGCTATCCTCCTGCCTCACTCTCCTCAATTGCTGAAACTATAAGCATGCACTACCACATCTGGCAAATTGTTAACTTCTTGAGGAAAACCTTTTTAGTCCTGAATACCTCTTTTCTGTCCTTGCAAAAAAATTGTTGAGCAAATATATGTTGATTACTCTATTTAATACTGGGAATAGGGCTGGGGCTATAGCTCAGAGGCAGAGTGCTTGCCTAGCATGCCTGAGGCACTGGGTTCCATCCTGAGCACCATGTAAAAATAAATAAAATAAAGGCATTCTGTCCATCTAAAACTACAAAAAAAATTTTTAAAAAAAGCTTAAAAAAATACTGGGAATAAATAGTAAACAAAACAGATACATTGCCCTCATGGAGTTTATATTCTTGGGGAAGTAAAATAGTAACCACATAATCACACATTATA